GATCATGCTGTGTAGCAATTGGAATCTCGCGTCACGAAGGTCTTGCATAAAGCTGGCAAGACCTTCGCTCAGAAGCCAGGATTAATATTAATTCCCCATATAAACATTTGGAAACTGGACTGTCCCATCTGCCATATGCAGGACAAAAAACATGCAGCCTGGACTTTAACTGTTAAACAACCAAATCAGCATGGGAAACAGTGTGATGATTTTTGCTCAGCCCAAACCAAAGCCAGTTTTCTAGAATTAATTTGCAGAATCCTAAGAACTGGACCTCCAACTTGAAGAGCTAGCTGTGCTTACAAAGTCAACAATAACTGTGCATGGGCAACCCTGAATTAAAGTGACTAGAGCAAATCTTTAAAGGATAATTCCACTACTGCTATTGCTATCATTAACTAACCAGACAAGTTTCATATACCCAATCATACACTGGATGCAACTGCCAGATAAAGTAGTGGAAGTCAAATTTGAATCTTTCTGTATGGATTTCAGAGAGACCAGTCATTATTTGCTGATACATTATTATAACTTGTATAATCAAAAGCTACTATATTAATTTAATTATGATATTAAAAATTGATATAATTATCTATAAAGTGAGACTAATTTAAATATTCATAACATGAAAATGATTCATGCAGGTGAATAAACCATGGAGTGTCAGTACATTCTGAATCTCTGCATATTCCTTGACATTATTTTTCCAGTACAGTGTAAAACTATATAAATATGACACAGGTTGCAGGTATTAAGTTGCATGTCCACCAGTGTGCTGAAATACCATCCAGTGATCTGGTCTTGTTCATTGTTACTTGTATATATCTTGCTTAATTTAACTGATTCTGCCCCCATTCCTTGTACCCATAAATTTCTTTTCAATAATCTAGAAAACTTCAAAATCATTCAATAAATTAATTTATTAAAAAATTTGGTGAAAGGTAAGGGGTCGATAGATGAAGAAATCATTTCTTCTTGTTCATGCATATGGCCCCCATCTCTGTCAGGTGTTAGAGTAGAAATTTATTGAAGCCTTCAGAAAATAATTATGGCAACAAGGTTACAAGCCACACTGCAGAGTTAGGGAATTTTTTAAAAGATCTCAAGGGTACAAAAGGTTTATACCTTTGTATAGGGGGCAAGGGAACAAAATATATGTAGGGGCAAGGGAACAAAATAATGAAATTTTGAGATTCGGGGGCAGGTAAGGTTTTTATGATGGGGTGCTAAACCTTTTCCCTAAAAAATCCCTGACCAGCTACAGTTGTCATGGATATTAAAAATACTCATTAACTCACTAACATTAAATAATGCTGAATAAATGCTGAAACTGATGTTTGACTATTAAAGTATCCTAGCAGTTCAAGACCTTGAGGTTCATAAGATTTTAGCTTTGTCAACCTGGCCACTCTGTTATTAATAATGGCTTATTTAAATAATTTCAGGTCATTAAATGTAAATGTAAAAAAACAAAGTATTTGAAGTTAATACTGCTGTGAACAACTGTAGTTAATACTGTAAACACGTTTCTCGCAGCGATAAATCAATATTGTAAATAATAAACATGTGAGAAGTAGAACTTTACTGAGAGTCGGAGTATAGTATTATATAGGCCATTGTCTCATTTGTCTGGCCATGTGTTAAACTACAAATTCAGCTAACTATAACATACTGTATAAAATATAACAGCCTTCGAATTAATATATATTTCATAGAGCTGGTCAGTGTAACAAATAATTAAAGGCAACCGCATTGGCGGCATTGCCAACATTACGATATTCGCAAGAGTGCACGTGCACGTGTTAACTCATGGGAATCTGCTAAATAATTTGTAACAATAAAATACTTCTAGACATTTTCAAATTCATACTGTACCTTTTTACTTGATGGAAATCATCACAAATAGTACGTACGAGGTTGCAATTGTCTCCATAATTGTCCTCGGAAACCCGAAACATCGCGTCATCGCCTTCTCGGCGAATTATATATGATGCGATATAAAAGAAGATTGACGTACATTCGACGTAATATATAAACGTAACACATTAAAAAGAAATATTACAACAAAAAATAAAAGAATATAAATAATCCACGGCAATTCAAGTTCTATTCGTGAACTTTTCGTCGCCCCCCTGTCTTTATTTCCCTAAAGCCCGCTCGCAGGCTAATACTCCAAGAATCTTGGAGTATTTGCCTGACACGTGACCAGCGTTTACCAGGTCCATGTCGCTGCCTTCAACTCACGACTGGCCCTGGGTACGAGGTTGTGTAAATTCAAGAACAACGCCAACATGTAAACAACCTCGTTCTCAAACTGGAAATTAGCCATTCGGATTAGTTTAATTAATGCATATGCATGGGCTACCTGTTTTCGCTCTAAATTCAAATTTTAACAACGCGTTACCACGCGTTACCACGCGTTACCAAACGTGTTACCACTAATATCAAATAGTTATTATTGCTACAATAAAACTTCCGCAATAAAAGTTCATTTCTAACGGTTCAAAACTACAAGATCGACATGCAAGCAATGACTAACAACGCGTTACCATGAGTTGCGCACGCGTTACCACGCGTTACCATCTTTTATTTAAAAGAAACTACTATATATATTTTAATGAAAACTTGGCGGTAACGCGTGGTAACGCGTTGCTTTATCAACAAAATACCATAATGAATAGAATTACTAGGCGTTAACGCGTATGGTTATCCGAGATAACGCATGGAAATGCATTGTTTTAGTAATAGGAAAGCCAAATAAACAATTAGTACATGGTAACGCGTATGGTAACGCGTGGTAATGTGTTGTGTTCGTAATAGAAAAACCATATTATAAAACTATTAGTACATGGTATCGCATGTGGCAATGCGTGGTAACACGTTGCTTTAGTAATTTATATTACAAAAGCCATATTAAACATTAGTTTACGGTAAATTGAATAAATTAAAATTTTGACCCCACCAAGTAATCAAAAATTAATTAAAAAATGCTTATAGTTTGATCAACATTGAATTATCCATTAATTAACTTGAGCAACTAAAGTATTATTAATCCATGTAAAGTTATAGGACTTTCTCTAAGTACTATGCACGGTTAATTCTCTAAGTTAACGGACCGATCCAAGAAAGTACTCGACCGCCCTCTCCCCCCCACCGCACCCCATCCCACCCGGCTCAGAAGAAGACTTGATATATTACCATTATACAACGTAGAGATCTTTGTATGGGCCTCACAATACTATCCAAATTATAGTGAATAGCAAGACGCTTATATTACTTCACAAAAATTCCTTAAATATTTAATCCTTGCCCCCACACCTCTGGGAATTAAATTCTCCACCCCCCTCCCCTCAGCTATTGTGGCGCACATAACATGATTTCGAATAACTTCGAGCTGCTGGCATCTAAGTTTTCTTAATTTCTAATATAATCGTCTACCAAATATATACTGATACTTTTTGTATCTCTCCCCCATTTCTTTTATATCTCCCCCCCCTGGTCGACTTGGCAGAACTGTACCATTCTACATGTGAACAATAACTCGAATAGTATCATCTACAGTGACTACTACACATGCACACAAAATGATTTCAAAAAAACTTCGAGATGCTTTTAACTAAGTCTTATCAATTTTTAAGACAATCGTCCACAAAATATATTGAGACTTTTTAAATCAATCCCCTCCCCCCTTATTTCAATGTTGAAACCTACTGTACTTATCCAAAACGAACATAAGGTGACACTAGAACCGCAACTGTGTCACTGGCAGTTGAAATTTAACATATGATGTTGGAATTAAACTATATTGTAGTGCCTAACAACATTGAAATCGGGGGAGGGGGTTTGTCTCAAATATTTTGTGGACGATTGTCTGAAAATTGGGGAAAATCGAGCACAGGTTTTCGCTATTTATTGCATAATATTTTCTTTGCCAGCGCTTATGTTAATGTATACGAACAAAATTTGCATAACATATTTGGACTACATAGTATACATGCCGATATACAAGTATTATATTATGCGATAGTTTGTCCAAGTTAAGTTAAAATCCATACCTTACAGGCATCTAACATTCCTTCGCAAGCTTGCCTTCGATTCGAAAAAAATATATCGATAATGAATAACACGCAATCCATCACAAATCCAGATTTTTCTATTTTAATGTACTATGTAAATTCAAGAACAACGCCAAAATGTAAACAACCTCGTTCTCAAACTGGAAATTAGCCATTCGGATTAGTTTAATTAATGTATATGCATGGGCTACCTGTTTTAGCTCCAAATTCAAATTTTAACAACGCGTTACCATACGTGTTACCACTAATATCAAATAGTTATTATTGCTACAATAAAACTTCCGCAGTAAAAGTTCATTTCTAACGGTTCAAAACTACAAGATCGATATGCAAGCAATGATTAACAACGTGTTACCATGAGTTGCGCACGCGTTACCATCTTTTATTTAAAAAAAACTACTATATACATTTTTATAAAACTTGACGGTAACGTGTTGCTTTATCAACAAAATACCATAACCATACGCGTTACTAGGCGTTAACGCGTATGGTTATCCGAGATAACACATGGAAATGCACTGTTTTAGTAATAGAAAAGCCAAATAAACAATTAGTACATGG